AGACGAAAAATCGCGATCAGGGGAAATCGGAATGCGAACCAACATCCCGAAGTGGTTTGGGGATCGAGGCGCTTTCAATGCGACTTGGAGGGTTCGGATGGGGCCGATTGAAACCGGTTTTGGTTTAAACAACATTCATTGATTCCGTCTGAACAGGGCCTTTGAGGCTCGATGGAGGCGGGTCTCTGATGAAATTAGTCATGCACATTAGGGTGAAACATGGTCCCTGTATTCAGGAAAAGAAAATTTTCACATGCGTAGCCTACGTAGAATCCTGAAAATTAAGTGGAATGATTATGTCGCTAATGTAGACGTTCTCACACGTGCCGATAATCCAAGTAGGTACACACTGCTGAAACAGCGCCGACTCCGCTGGCTTGGACATGTTTGCCGTATGTCAGACGGGAGAATTTCAAAGGACCTGTTGTAACAGTGAACTTGCCAACGGGACAAGAGCACGTGGTCATTCTCACCTGCGCTTTAAAGACGTTATCAAACGGGACATCAAAAACATGGACATAGATACTAACACATGGGAGACACTAGAAAAAAACAACAACGTTAACAACAGGACACTCTGGAGACAGGAATGGCTTACAACGGGGAAGAAAAACAGAGACTCGCATCAGAGCTGAGACGTTTCAAACGCAAAATAAGAATAAAGTATAGGGTATAGATGTAGATGAAGTGCTTCATGGTCTTTTAAGACCGACGAATGCCCAGTACTACTACTACTATACTATTGGACACAAAAGGCTTTTATCTTGTATAACGCCTACCGCGTCTTGTGGCAGGGATGGCGTGTGGATTTACTGCAGCTACAGGTGTCATTTTTCCTTGTGTGGCAATGTCTTGGCGGAAAACTGGTTTTAAAAAAAATTTAGGCGTCAGTGGATATGAAGATCGCTCTATGTCCGAGGTCATCGGCCATTGTTTCCAGTGCCAGTCGGTCTCAGACTCCACGTGGCTTATAATCTATTTATGATAGTGGAAGGAGGTTTGAGCCATCGATTTAGTTTCTTTGTAAGGGACTCAAGGGAGAACTCTGGATCCTTCTTTTGTTCCTCTTTGGGTTTAAGCCAGTTTGGTGGTCAAGTACAGGTTTCCTTTCATCGCACATTGTGGAAATGAGACAGCAGCTACGGACTATTATGGGCACATAAGAAGCCAGATTTATCGGCTCCCAGATCATAAGGTACTAGTAATAGCAGCGTTGGTTGGCAGTAACATGCTAGTTCTACATGAAAGTCTATACTGGTTTGCCGAACTGCAAGTAGACACCACAGGCAAGCTATATTGCAGACGAAAAAAAAAAATGCAGGAGCTATTTCAGAGGTGAGAAAAAAAAAACATTTCAAATTTCAAGTACAGATACAGGTAGCCACTTGTGATACAAAGGGCGTTTTAGAACCTTTTTGATAGTAACATCCGGTCGATAAAACTGTGAAAAGGCAGATTTGAGAGTTGGGGAATTGAAACAAAAAGTATGAGAGACAAGTATGCAATGCCGCTCCTGCCTTTTATTGAGGAACGATAGACTGTCCAGCGTTTTATGTGCGTATTTAGTGGGTCCATTCCGTTTTCAAATTGCGGGGGAAGTTACAGAGGGAGCACTTCCATATTGTCCGTGCTAGAGTAAGGTGCGGATGGGTGGAGTGCGTGGCGTACCCTAAGAGGTGGTATGCCAAGAGCAAGAAGAGGTCTGGGCGGCCTATAGCTATATGACAAAGTTTATTTCAATACAGGCATCTAACCCCTGGGACTTGAGTTCGTCCGCGCCCCGATCTGGTTGCTGTACTTAGGGCCATTGTGTCCCAGTCTGCTATATTTCTTTGAAAACTTAGAACTTGGTAGTTGTTGATCACACCATTTCCATTGTTTCTCGGTCTGTAGGTTTGAGGGGGTAAGATGTGGGTACGTTAGATTTGGGAAATCCAGCAAGGGCTAGGACGGTCAGATCCTGGGCTCGCCCAGGGCAAGCTATCCCAATGACAATGTGCAGAGACGAGGGGGAGTTACAGCCGCAGTAGAAGGGTACGGTTTAGAGACTCGCCTCTAGTTGACATTTGGGCCATGAAGCTTGAAGGGGAAGCTGTCGTAGCTATACTGTGGGACAGTTGAGGCTAGCTCTTAAGCAATAGAGGGGGTGGAACTACAGGGAGGCATGTCGTAGCTGGAGTGGAGTGAATAGGCGGCTGCGATGCCAAAGAGTCGGGAGTTTGAGGATCGGGGATCTGAAAGGTAAGGTTTGGGGATAACAAGATAAGGTATGGGTGAAGGGAAAGAGGAGTGGGGTGGCGCTTGGGA